AGGTGTAAAATTAGGTGATTTTGGGGTCTATCAGGTTTCTAATATTAACAAAACTTGGTGGCTATGTTAGGGTAAGAGTTAGAATTAATATACACATTTACTGCTATATTATCTACAAATATCTGAAAAACAGGATTTAAGTTTATTTCTTGTAATGAAAAAACATGACTTAAAATTTCTGATTAAGAAATTAGAAAACTATGTCTATGTCACAATACTACAATAGTGATATTTTTTTTGTATCTTACCAATTTTATCCAAAAACATAAGATGCTATTCAACTGAAGAATTATCAAGTTAATAGAAGTTGACTCCAGTTTCGTCGTAAAAGATTAATAAAATAACATTAACAATCAAAGTTATCACATGTTAAATCCCATCCCAATTACTTGACGAACGTACAAAAGATTATAGAAAAGAGGGTGATTATGAACTAACCCTAATTTCAGCCGGTGTAAACATATAACGGAGAATAACGGTTGCAGGAATTGAAACTTTAGCATCATCTCGGCCACCTGCACAAAGTGAAAAAACTAAGTCCTCGTACTGAGCAAACTTCAGAGTTATATAGTAGGATGTAGGAGCAATGTTGAAATATGTAAATAAAAGAAAACAAACTCTCATCCAACGATAAAAATGCTTATAGCTAGCTACAAATTTTCAAAGTTAACTAGTTGAGGGTTAAATTTCACCACGTATTTAACTTTAAGATTTAATTTCATGAAATTAAAAGTTTAAGGCTAAATTGACTCCGTAGCTAAATTACCTCGATAAATTTTTTCCAAAAAAAGAGAAAAAGCTTCTCTTTCTTAGTGTCTCATTCATAAGCCCTAGAAAGCTACTACACTTCGAAAAAAGAATGGAAAACTTTATTAGTTGAGGGTTTAATTTCACCACTTCATCAAGTTTAAGATCTAGCTTGATAAAATGGTCTCCTAAGCCAAAACTACATGTTCCAGAAAACATGAGGCTAAATGAGGTTTAGATGATGCAAGGGTGAAAGCTTTTGGGAAGTATTCAGAGTCTTCTTATAGGAAACGGTAGGTAAGGTATTAATAGACGCAATGGGGTAATTAATAATCTTAGGGGCCCTTTGGTTCAAGGATTCAAAAAATATATTTGGGACTAAGATGCCTGAGATTAAGATGCCTGGGAAACAAAGATAATTGTGTTTGGTTGGATTAAGATGCCTCGGATTAAGATATCTGAAAATGAATTATATATATGTTTATTTTGTGTGATTCAGAAATATGCATTTTATGTCCTTGTAAACATTGATTAATAACAAATCAAATTAAAATAATATAAATTAAATTATTTTATATTAGCATTCTAAATTTTAAATTAACAATTTAGCTATATTGACAATTTAGCAAAATAATCAATTGAATAATTAATATTAAATGTTATTTAACTAAAATTCAATATTTCAATATATACATATTTAGCAAAATGATATATTTGTATAAAACTTTAAAATCAATAAAAAATTAAATCCCAATAATTAATTTATCTTTATTAAGTTAAAATAATAATTATTTTAAGCAATTATGTTTTAATTTAAGTTTCACTCTTTAATAAATATATTATAAATAATATATCTAAATTTATGTTGTTGATTTTGTTTAGCAATAAACCTTAATAATTATCCTTCTATGTGTTTAACAAAATTAATCATTTTCATCTTATTAATTGCATCAATTAATTAAATTCTTTTATAAAAAAATTAAGTATACACTTTAATAAATTAATTTATTACAATAGAATATTTAATTTAGTACATTATTGACAAAATTTAAATTTTTCTTTATTAATTATAAATTTAATATAAATATTTTAACTAATTTTAATTAATTAATTTGAATAAAATAAAGTAAATAATTACATTAAAAAATTATTTAAAAGAAGAGGAATGAGAGTCTGGCACAAAATCCATGGACAAACCTATGAATCTAGGAGGAAAAAGAAAGCCCTTGTCCATAGGAATAAGGGATGCCTTGGAATAAGCTATTCTCAGAAAAAGATTTCAAATCTGTGTAACAAACAAGAACTTTACTTGCCCATTCCCATTCCCACCCAGAAAATCCCCAACCAAACGGCCCCTTAGGCGGTGGAACAAAGGGGTGATGAGACAGAAGGTTATAAAAAAAGCACGCCAACCTCTCCTTGCCTCCCGTATGGGAACGATGATTTTGCTCATACCTCCATTGCTGTCTATCTTTATTATCTCAACTATGGTCCTTTCCTGTTGAAAGATCTTCCCACCCACAGACTGGTCATCAGTACAAAATTCTTCAAAAAAAATTTAATTGTCTGAAAGGACGACAAATGAAGAAAGTATGGAAATGAAGAAAGCACCATCCTTTAGATCTTTAATCTTGATCCTCTGTATCTCTTCCTTTCAATTATCAATGACCGAGGAGGACATGGTTAACGGAGAGGTTTAGACGGTATATGGAGGGAAAAGGGGGGGGAGAGAGCGTCATTCTTTTTTTATTTTTTTTATAACAAGGAGTCGGAGCTTTGTTCCCCTATACTCAGAGGCACCTATGTCCGCCGCTAGGCCCGGACCCAAGAGTCATCAAGGATTTTTGGTACTAAGCTCACCAAAAGGTTCAGACTTGAAATCTCTAAGCCAATATGACCAAGAGACCCCAAGTCCTTGCCAACCATGCCCTGCCCCTTGGGGCAGAGAGCGTCATTCTTTTCAAAACTATTTTGAAACCTTCCGAAGAAATTATGGTAAATATTTTAATTTTTGCCTTAATAAACTTAGAACTCAAGGAAACAGTTGTACAACCTATAGAACGGATCTTGTTCAAGTAAGGTCGTATGTTTACCTTAATAAATTTACAAAATGAATCCTTCATCTCTACCATGCAATGGAAGTAAACCCACATCATAATCGAGATTACTTTTTGTTTAAAAAAAAAAGAATAAGAATACAAATAAATCGTAATAAAATAATTTTATTCTAATTTTGATAACCAAAAAAAAAAAGAAACTCCTTTAGAAACTAAACCAGAAAGGCGTTAGGACATAATTAGCAATATCATTTTAGGGAATAAGAACATCATACCCCAGCCAAGTATCTTCTCTTCTACCTTCTTAAGCTTCTTTTTCTTCTTGTTGTCTACTTTTTTGGATACAAATGTATCCCCTGCTTGTGAAAGTTCATCAAATAAGACAACAGGCAATGACAAATAACATTCTTATCAGAACATCGAAGACTAAAGTGTTCTAGTTAGATTGTTTAAAGAAAAAACATGCAAGAGGTTCAAATATGAACCAGGAGGGATTTTACAGTACCTTTTTGCTCAAACTTAGCTTGAGTAACAGACATAAGAATTTTGCCACCTGGACGAAGAGATGTGCCATCCAAAATTTGCAAAGCCAGAGCAACAGAGGGTTCCTAGCGAAGTAAACACATAGAGAAGACTATATGGAGACCAAAATATAATATCACAAAAAGCATACGAAGAGATCGGAAAAATAAAGAGGCAGAAGACTCAAACGAGGATAACTAATTACCTTCAGATAGGTCACTAAAGCATCACCCTTCTTCTTCCCTGTCTCTCTATCAACATACAACTTAACACGGGGTTTTTTGGTTTCAGGATCCTGAAAAATAAATACATATTTCTAGATTAACAACAGTATACATTCATACAAGAATTATATATTCAACATATGACGTGTTTGAATAGATAACATCTACCACTCACACTGCAGTCATAAAGAATCTTTGCCTACCATTACAACCCATAAAACTTCTTCACAAGCCACTTCATAACTTGAATTCCTAAACTAGTAGATATGCATAAAGGTATTAGTGGGAATGGCATTCAGATGCAAGATTAAGGATACACCCAGTCCCCCGACCCCACAAACCTTTTATTCTCATCCCACCCTATTACCCAATTTGAATAAACAGAATCAGGGACAAAGATAGAAAATCCCAATTCAAAAATTGGATCCCTAAGATAGCAAGGGAATGCTTCCAAATCGATGTAGAGAAAGGACAGTCCACAAAATGTGATGTTGTGATTCAGTTCCACCTTTGCATGAACCAGCTTAGAGAAATTGACAACCAGGGTCATCTTCTTTGAAGCTTGTCATATGTGTTAAGGCACAAGGACTATGCTCCCAAATTAGAAACCAGTGTTTTCAAGGCGCAAGGCGCACCTCAAGGCGACAAGCATCCTTGTCGCCTTGAGGCGAGAGGCGACAAAAAGGCGTTGCCCGAGTGAAGTGAGGCGCACTTAATAAAATAATAAATAGCAATTTTATGTATAAAAAATACTCTAGATGAAGATATTTGTAAAACTATTTAATGTGCATATAAATTTTAACTTAAGAAAAATAAAAAATTTAAATTTAAAAAGAAAATAATAAAATTAGAGGATAAATAAATAGAATACTAAAATAAAATAAAATTTAAATCACAAATTAACTTAAATAAAATAATTTATTGCTATCTTGCCTTTCTGCCAGATGGCAAGATAATTGCATGCAATTAGTGCCTTGAGAACCTAAAAGGGAATGGGAAAAGACTCCATGAAACATCAAATACCCAACTCTTTTATTCTATTTTTTAATTCTTCTTCTACTTCTTTTCTGATTCTTCTTCTTCTTCTTCGTCTATTACTCTTCTTTTCTTCATTTTCGTGCACAACCAGTTCATATGTGAGTGAGACTAAATCTTTTGGCTGTTTACAAAGGAGAAGGAAAGAGAGATGGCTTCATAGTCGTGCAGTGACTTGGCAAAGGTGGCGGCAACGAAGGAGGAAAGTTTTCGGTTGTGGGTATTTCGATTTTTGGGTCTGGATTTTCATCTTTTTAGAGTTTCTTTAGTGGGTTTTTAACATTATAACAAAAAAAAAAAAAGTGAGGTTGCATCGCTTCAAAGAGGCGCTCGCCTCGGCTTATGGCGATGGCGCCAAGGCGCCCAAAGGCGAGCGCCCGATTGAAGGTGCTCGCCTGGGCACCTTGCAAGGCGCACCTGGGCGAAAACGCCTCGCCTCTCGCCTGAGGCGAGCGCCCGGGTGCACCTTGAAAACACTGTTAGAAACTTGATTTTTTTTTTATACACGGCCATCCAAATAGATTTCTTAAGATTGTTTGAAGAAGATACCAAACCAGAAGAAAGGCTTTCAGCCAACGATTTTGTCGTGAAGATGTCATGTTTTTCTAGGTTTCAAGACCAAAACCACCACTCAGCCAAAAATAGCAAGGAAGTGCTTCCAAATCGATGTAGAGAAATGACAATCCACAAAAATGTGATATTGATATTCAATTCCAGCTTTGCATAAACAGCACCTGCTTAGAGAAATTGACAACTAGGGGCATCTTCTATGAAGCTTGTCATATGTGTTAAGACACCAATGACTTTAACTCCCAAATCAGAAACTTGATTTTGTTTGCATACATGGCCCTCAAAATATATTTGTAAAGATCATTTGAAGAAGATACCAAACCCAAAGCAAGGCTTTGAGCCAACAATTTTGTTGTGAAGATGTCATGTTTTTGTAGGTTCCAAGACCAAACATCAGCTCTATCCGAAGGAAAATTGATGATAAAAGAGCTGATAAGGATGCCCATTTCTCAATTGCCTCCTATTTGAGATTCTACGGAAGTTCATATTCCAGGACTTGTTTTTCTCATCCAATAAATCAGTAATTGAGACATCTTTTTTTGTAGATAGAGCATGCAGTGAGGGGAAGTCAATATAAAGGGGTCTTTGACCCATCCAAAAATTTATCCAAACCGATATATTATGACTATTTCCCACTTTGCAGCAAATATTTGAGAAAATAAGATTTCTCTATCTCTGGATATATTTCCAATGCCCTTTTGATGAATATAAGGACTTCTCATCAGTTTTTAGATAAAAATGCGTGGACCTGTATTTGGCAGCTATGGTTTTCCTCCATAGAGCTTCCTTTTCCAAGTGAAACCTCCAAGTTCACTTTGATATGAGAACTTTGTTTCTTTGCTTTTAATCGATGATGCCCAAACCTCCTTCTGGTAAGATAGCTTCACCAAGTTCCATTTAAGGAGATGAAAACCATCCTTTTACTTGTGACTGGCCAAAAGAAATTTTCTGTAAAATTTGCTCTAGGGAAGTAACGACTTTGGTTGGTATTTGGAAAAGAGATAAAATAGGAAAGTTTAGCAAAGGTTGTTTTAATAAGGGTGAGTCTACCTCCTTTGGATACGTGGGAATGGTTCCAATTATGAAGTCTTCTCTCAACTTTTAGATGGACAGGCTGCCAAAAACAAGTAGATCAGTGTTTACTATGTAGAGGAAGGCACAAGTAGGAGCTCGGCCATGTGCTTACCTTACACCCAAACAGGTTGGCCAAATGGGAAATGTGGTTATCTTCACAGTTAATACCCGAAAACTCAGATTTCTAATGGTTTACATTAAGGCCCAAGGCTTCTTCAAAGCATAAAAACAGATTCTCCATGTCTCTCTTCGTGGGAGAAAAATAAAATTGTGTCCGTGTCATCAATGAATGATAAGATGGCTAATCTACAACTTACCTTTACCCACATGAAATCCCCTTATAAGAATTTTTTATGTTGAATGATATCAGATTCTACAACAGTCAGCAACCAAGATAAAGAAAGGCATGGAGAGGTTCTCCCTGTCAAGGACCCCTGTAGCTCAAATTTTCCACTAGGTTGACCATTTATAATGATGGAGAAATTTGTTTGTTTGATAAGAAACAGAATGCATTAGATTAATAAAGGAGAAAACAGTCTACGGGAAGCCCTTCCCTAGTGAGCTACCACATCACAGTTTTCCGATCTCAGGAAAATATTCACCAAAAGCCTACTTTCAATATCAACTCTAAGAAATTTGTTTCGCGGAAGGAAAATACTTGACTCCTCGACAATGAGGAGGAACCTTCACCATTAAATATTTGACATCATTATTATTTAAAAAAGTCTATTTTTTAATTTCTCTCCCTTAGTTGTCAAACATTTAATGGCGAGGACAAGGTTCCTCCTTATTGTTGAGGAGTCAAGGAATCACTAAATTTGGTTTTAGGAACAAAAAGCAGTGACGTTCTTTTAAAGAGCTCTAAGTATTTCATACTAGTCATCATGAAGTGTTACCTTTGGACCAGTATGGCATTCTCAATGTCAAAAGGCAGAATATTCAAATATGTCCTTTGGTTGTTGGGGTTTTTAGACTTTGGTTGTTCATGCAGTAACTTCGTGTGGTCAGTAGGTTGCCTTCAATAATTTATTTTCCAGCCTTCGTCTTTAGAACCATCTCTTTAAGAGGGTTAAAAGGAGAGGTGAGCCTCGAGTGCATCATAGATATCAGAGTTGTAGTGGAAGATGAGATCAATGAAGGAGCTCTAACCTTTTCTCTATTCACCCACGGGGATAAGAATCCTACTCTTTCCACCATTGTAGTCTAGCTTTATTAGCTCATCAGAGTGTCCATGTTTATTCACCAGCTTTTTCTTTTTTTTTCCTTATAATCAAGAGTGGGAGCTTTGCTCCCATATACCGAGGCACCCGTGCCCACGCCAAGGCCGGGATCCAAGAGACATCAAGAGTCTTTTGTATTAAGCTCACCCGAGGTTCCAAGTTGAGACCTCTAAGCGAATATGACCAAGAGACCATTGTAGTTTAGCGTTATCAGCTCTCAGAGTGTTCACGTTTATTCGCCAGCTGTTTTTTTCTCCCCTGATAATCTAGAGTTGAAGCTCTGCTCCCATATACCCGAGGCACCGTACCCGCCCGAAGACTTGGACCCGAGAGACATCAAGGGTTTTCTTATTAAGCTCACCTGAAGGTTCCAACTTGAGACCTCTAAGTCGATATGACCCAGAGACCCCATGTCCTTGCTAACGAGACTGCCCCTTGGGAGCTTGTCCACCAACTTTTATATCCAAAAAATTTGGTCATCAATCATTCTTTTCACGAAAACTTGTGATTAAGTGGCAAATCTAGGAGGATTTTGAAGCATACAATGACCCATCTCAAGGTACATCAATGGACAACTATGGAGAATGTTTTTTCCTTCGTTGTCTGTGAAGCCCACTACCTTTGAAAATATCATCAATTCTAACCGTAGAAAGCCTTCTTTTTGGCATATCCGACCATCAATCTTAACAATAGAAGGCCTTCTTTTTGACATAAGAAAAGTATGGGCTAAAAATAGAGGTTTGCATGGCTTGGGATGATTAGGTTGAGGAAGGAAGGAGATGAGATGAGCGAGAATGAGGAAGGGAGGGGGAGAGGGAGAGAGCATGGGAAGCCATTTTCTCTATGGTTATAAAAGCATGATGAAGTTCAATGAGTTGATTGAATTATTGAACATTAAAGTGGAAGTCGAATTTAAGATTAGATCCCATTTTCTTCCTACGAAATAGATTTTTTTGTCTATATAATGGATGGAACTTTTCAAAGAATAAGGGTGAATGGAAAAGCTAGAACGGCATCAGATTATTTTACCATTGTTCTTAAAATTTAGTTTGGGGACCACCACCTTTTTGTTTCTCGTATGTTTGGCTAAATAACCAAAAAATGGTTAATATTTATAAAATTATTGAAATTGAGGTGGCCGATTTTAGATTAATCAAAAAATTGGAAGTCTGGAAGACACCATCATAGAATGGGGTATGAATACGGATATAAACAGTGGAATAAAAAAGGAAATAGAAAAAAGAATAGGTGAAATTGAACTTTGGGAAGAAAGAGGATTTGTTGGTTTCAGACAGGATTGAAGAAAGACTAATTTAAAGAAAGAATTCATGAAAACATATCATAAAGAACATTGAAGACTACTCCAGATGGGTAAAATTAAATGGTTATGGTTAAAGGAAGGGGATGAAAATAATGCTTTCTTTCACAGGTTCTAAGCTGCAAAGAAAAGGAAAATATGGGCAGAGATTTTTTCGGAGTGGCATTGAATGGAAGCCACTCAAATACCAGAACTTAATCACTTTACCAATAAAAATTCTTTTTATGAGCACCAAGCTTCCATTGGTAAAAGTGAAAGTCTATAAAGGGCAGACAAAAAGATAGCCCACCAAACGGAGTCAGAGCAAGACCTGAGCTACCATATCAAAAAAAAAAGGCTCCAATCAAAAAGAATTAATAATAAGATTTTGAGATTTATTTAAGTCTGATTTTTTTAACTTATTTGTAGAATTATTTAATAAGGACATCTCCGTTCTCTGTCTCAGTAAAAAAAAAACAAAGGGAGAACTTTTTAACTTATCCAGCAATGGTCACGTTTGCTCATAGGGCCCATCAATCTCTCTGCTCTTCGCCCCTCTCAACTGCCAAGTTATGATTGTGCACGTTTATGTTGATATTTTAAGTAACAGTTACTATCATGGAGCCCCATTAACTCTCTGGCACCTTTTTTCAGCATTCATATTGTATTTAAAATAAAAAAGCGTCCAAAATCAATAGCAAGTCCAAGGAGAGAATAATTTATCAGAGGAAGGTGGTTACAAGTAGTTCACGATGGCATTAGATGTCTCTTACAACACCCTCTCTACAACTCCTTCCACTCTAAAAGAGAAACTAACCCATTTCAGGTGACTACTTATTCGCTTAAAGGGGGTCCCCATTTAAAAGAAAAATCTTAATCAAATATGGAGTTAGCACAACCATGTAAACCACACATTGATTTATCTTCTCATGTAAGCAATGCATGTCAAATTATACATACCTCCTTTATGATTCCACACTTCGAAAAAACTTCAACAACCTGCAACATATAACAGAAAATAACAGCTTCCAATGAGAATAATGCTAAAAGATGCACGAACTAATAGTATGTGTCTAAAACATACTTCATCAATTGTAACATCCTCTGGCAACCCTGTTACATAAACATGTGTATTTATTTTCAGTTCAAACCAACCATCAGGACCTTTGTTAGCTTCCTGTAGAAGGAATCCATCAAGAAGAAAGAAAAATCAAGTTAGAATAAGAAAGAATTTGTCTAGAGCAGCCCCTCTTATACAATAAGAAATAAGTTATAAGTACAATGCAAGGAAAAACCTTTTTTTCAACTTGCTTGTCACACAATTTTCTCTTCCCGTTTTGTTTGGTTTCAATGTCCTCACTTTTACCATTAGCTTCTTTTGTGACAGAATCTTTGTCTTCCTTGATGGAGGTGGAAGGAACAGAATCATCATGTTCTTTGATGCCAGTGCACGTAGCATCTTCTTGAAGGTGTGGAAAGACTTCTTCTTCTTGCATGAATGTCATCTCTTCAGGCCCATATTGCTCATGTTTAAAAAATGCATCATCCTGTTTCAAAATCTAATCATTAGAAATTATATCTAGAGTTCAATACCATACAAGCCAACTTTTGCATAAACGGGAAGCTTCTTTTATGAGAATAGCAGCTTTCATTGAGAACAATGAAAAAAAATACAAGATAGCAAAACAGGAAGAAAAAAAAAAAGGAAAGTCCAAAACAAAAGCCAAAAATCAACAAAAACGTGAGTAAGAATTACAAAAAGGGGCTCCAATTTAAAAGAATGAGAGATAAATGATAATAACTAAAGTTCTTAGTATGGAAGCTTAAAGGGAGGGCATTGCAATTAGTCAAGCCTCAAACCTCCTCCAGCAGGAACTTTTCTTATCACTAAAGATTCTTCTATTTCTCTCCAGCCAAATATTCCATAAATGAGAAGTCTTCCCAACAACCATTAACATCAATCCCCCACCAAGACTTGGACCACCCCACAGAATTTTACAATATCTTTCAAGAAGCAGAAAATGATATAGAGATCATTGAAGACGGGCATTGGTGGTTAAAGAACAAGAAAAGCAGGAGGAGCAGAACAAATTCACGGAACTTTCATCGGATGATGAAGAGGAGACAGAAAACCAATTTCCGTCAACTCGAAAAATGGTTCTTTATCTCTACAAACATAATCTCTGTATAAGAGCTATACCATCCAAAGCTGGAAGTGTCACCAAGAAGAAAGAAACCAAGGAATTGTGTAGTCTATTTAGAACATGGGAGAAAGTAGCAGAATTAGGAGACAATAAACTTTAGCTGAAGGCCAAGAGGTTGTTTTATGAAGATCATCTCTTGGAACACGTAAGAGGGATCGGTGCCCCCTCTAAAAGAGTGCTGATAAAAGATGTCATCTGCAAGGTTGACCCTGATGTAGTTCTTCTGCAGGAATCTAAATTAGATGATGCAGACAGGAAGGTCATAAAGTCCATTTGGAGCTCTAGAAGAATTGGGTGGATCTCGCTTGATGCGGTGGGGCCTCTGGAGGTATCATTGTCATGTGGAATGAGGATACTGTTTATGTGGAAGACTCTGTTCTCGGTAGCTTTTCTGTCTCGATTTTGATCAGATTCGTAGATGGTTTTCAAGGATGGATCTCGGGGGTTTATGGTCCTTCCTCTACCACAAGTAGAGATCTGTTTTGGCAGGAGATGGGAGACCTAGCTGGTTTATGCAATGAAGATTGGTGTGTAGGAGGAGATTTCAACGTGGTTACAACTTACAAGTCCTCTAGAGAAATCAAGAGGAGGAAGGGTTACTAGAAGCATGCGAGATTTTAATGCTTTTATAGAGAGGATACAATGTGGAAGAAGTCCCTGTGAAGAATGGATCCTTCCCCTTGAATTCAGAAGTAGTCCTACTGCCACCAGAATAGATAGGTGTTTTCTATCTTCAAGATGGTTTCAACATTTCAAAGATGTTACCTTGTATAGGCAATCGAGACCTACCTCAGATATTTCCCTCTCCAATTGAATTTAGGTTGGCAGAAATGGGGACCTACTCCCTTTCGTTTCGAAAATATGTGGTTAGAATAACCCAAGTTCCTTGATAATGTTGACAGATGGTGGAATTCTTTGCCTACCAATGGCTGGCCGAGCTACGCCTTTATGGAAAAAATTGAGAAGGCTTAAGCCTTTACTAATACAATGGAACAAAGATGAGTTCAGGAACGTAGCGAACTCTAAGAGAAGCATTTTAGATCAGATTGATGAGATAGACAAAGAAGAAGATAGGGGGCACTTAAATTCTGATCGGTTCTTTGAGGATTTCCTTAAAAGCGGAGCTGTTAGATATAACGTTGAAGGAATAGTAGATGTGGGCTCAAAAATGTAAACTCCAGTGGTTAAAGGAGGGAGATGAGAATTCCCATTTTTTCCATAGATGGGTGTTAACCAAAAGAAACAAAGCAGCTATTCGTTCTCTAGTCGATAGAAATGAGATGGTCCTTTCCTCGGATAGTGAGATTGAAGGAGAAGTTCTAGCCTTTTTCACAAATCTGTACACTAAAGCATATGGCACTAGATTTATTTTTGAAGATATAGAATGGTCCCCTCTAAACTTGCATTGGCAAGAGTGGATTGAATCTCCTTTCAATGAGGAAGAAATTTTTAGGGCAGTCAAAAGTTTGGCAAATTTAAAATCTCCGGGCCCCGATGGTATGACAACGGAGTTCTATAAAAAAGCTTGGAACATTTTGAAGTCTGACATTCTCAAGGTGCTCCAAGAGTTTTTTAAGAATGGTATCATTAATGCTCGTACTAATGAGACTTATGTATGTCTAATCTTGAAGAAAGTACCAGCGAACAAAGTGGGAGGGTTCAAACCTATTAGCCTTGTCTCCTTCCTTTACAAGGTTATTGCAAAGGTGTTGGCTGATCGTCTTAAAAAGGTCCTTCCCTCTATCATTGCGGACCATCAAGCCGCCTTTGTAGAATGTAGGCAGATTCTAGACGTCATTTTAGTGGCTGCAGAGGCGGTTGGCGATTGGAAGTCCTCAAACAAGTCAAGATATCTACTCGAGCTAGATTATGAAAAAGCTTATGATAAAGTGGATTGGGACTATATTGATGCAGTATTACAGAAGAAAGGCTTCGGCCAACAGTGGAGAATGTGGATTAGAGGATGTTTGTCCACGGCAAACTTTTCGATTATTATTAACGGTCGACCAAGGGGCACTCCATGTGACAAGAGGTCTACGGCAAGGAGACCCTCTTTCTCCTTTCCTCTTTACTCTTGTAGGAGACTCTTTTAGCCGGTTGGTACACTTGTGCTATGAGAGAAGGATGATTAAAGGTTTTGAGATAGGGACTAAAAAAGTGATGATTTACCATTTGCAATATGCCGATGATACCATCTTGTTTTGTCCGGATGGGAGGGGATTTTTGAACAAATGGTGGATTGTAGTTAACTGGTTTCTAAGAGCTTCAGGTCTTTCGTAGAACCTCGATAAGGCCTTTCTGGTTGGCATCAATATTAATGAAGCTAGACTAATCTGCCAAGCCTCGAAGCTAGGATGCAGAGTGGAAGACCTTCCCTTCTCTTGCCTTGGCTTACCCCTTGGGGGAAATTTTAAGGCTGCTGCCTTGTGGAGACCTTTGGTAGAAAAACTGGAGCAGAAACTAGAAAAGTGGCAGAAACTTGTTCTCTCAAAAGGATGCAGATTGACCTTGGCTCAATCAGTGTTGAATAGTATGCCAATCTACTATTTATCTCTTCTTAAAGCTCCAATTGGAGTTGCAAAAGACCTAGACAAGATTGTTAGAGATTTCTTTTGGAAGGGAGACAGATTACATCCCCACAGAAACTTGGTCAAATGGGAAACCACTTCCCTGCCTTTGGAAAAAGGAGGCCTTGGCATTGGGGCTTTTCAACAATGAAATAACGCTTTGCTTTTGAAATGGTTATGGAGGTTTACTCAAGAGGAAGGTCCCTTGTGGAAAAGAGTTATTGAAAGTATTTACGGAATAGAGCCCCTCGGTTGGCTGTCCAAAAAGCCTAGGGGTAAGTCGACGGGCAAACCATAGGTTGCTATAGCTAAAAACAGCATCTTCCTCCTCAAATTTTTGTCTTGTAAAGTCTCCCGCGACGATAGAGTCCGTTTTTGGTTGGATAGATGGATGGGGAATACTACTCTAGCTCCTGACTTCCCCGACATTTATGCAGTTTATTTGAAAAAGGAAGCTTCGGTTGCTGATTGTTGGAAAGAGGAGCAGCTTGCTTGGGACCTTGGATTAAGAAGGGGTCTTCAAGATAGAGAAATAGGAAGCTGGGTGGATCTGATGGGAAGGCTGGACACTATTCGAATTGGGAAAGGAGTCGATAAAACAATTTGGTCTCTTGAATCCTCTAGGAAGTATACAGTAAAATCAGCCCTCCAAGCTGCTTTTGAAGTTCCAAGCTCGAGATCTCTCATATCTTCTCTTTTATGGGAGTACTCTATCCCTTAAAAAGTTAAAGTTTTCCTTTGGACTCTAGCTTACACGACAGTAAATACCATAGAAAGACTCCAGAGAAAGTGTCCAAATTGGACCCTCTCTCCTTCTGTTTGTGCTTTATGTCAAAAAATGAGGATACTTTGGACCATGTCTTCCTTCATTGCCAGTTTGCTTCGCGAGGATGGTCCTTTTCGTTTCAAAATTTTGGTTTTTCCATCTGCCTTCCTCAAAATATTGAAGGGTGGCTATACGAAGCTCTAAGAAGGTGGCCTTTCAAAGGAAAGCTAAAATGCTTTGGAGTTGCGCAGTTAGAGCTCTTCTGTGGAATCTTTGGTTGGAAAGGAATGCTAGAATCTTCGAAGATAAGATTTCTTCTTTTGAAAATTTTTGTAATACAGTTCAATTACACACTTCATGGTGGTGTCATAGGCATAGAAAATTCTTTTGTAATTATAGCCTCTCTTCAATTATGCAAGATTGGAGAGCTCTTCTTTTTTAGTTCCTGGAAGGGGTCCCCTTCCCCCTGTCCTTAGGTTGTTTTTTGTGTTTCTATTCTTTTTTTAATCCAAAGTTTCTTATCAAAAAAAAAAATGATTGTCTCACCTCTTTAAACTCATCCAACCACCCTCTTGAAAGCAAGAATCAATCTAATCAGCACACCACCCACACCTACAAGCTAGACCATTGGCAATACGAAAAGGAGATCCGAAAGGTTAAGAACTTCAACAAACCTATTAAAATTTCCCATGAACTAGGAGAAGCCCGCCCCACTTTGCATAGACAGAGACTTCTTAATTCTTTTTCTTCTCAAAATTCTTCCCCTCCCCATACCTCATAAGCCCATACACACTGAAAACCTAGCTCTATGGATTACCAAAGAAGTTGACGATACCAACAACGGACCCTTTCACCACCTCCATTGACAATAGACAACTTAAGAAAATCCCACCTCATCTAAATGTCCCCAATGCAACTATAGCCTCAAGAATAACCCACACCCTTCCTTCTCCAGATACTCTTAATAAAGCTCACAAGAAATATGACCACCAAGAAGCTAAAACATGAACACAAAAAGAATCCCAAGAGTTAGCCTTGTCTTCAAAGGAGTGTGATTTCCTTCCCAACCAAACGTTTCACAATAGAGCTCTAAAGGCACATCCCCACAAGACTCTAGCCTTTCCTTTGAAGTGCCACCCGTGAAAACATTCTAAAATCCAGCTATCCACATCTTTAGGCAAGCTTGTATATATGTCAAAACACTGGAATAAAAACTGCAGCCTTTTGTAGCAAAAGGGCAGTGAAGGAACAAGTGATCCAAAGTTTCTACCCCCTTCAAGCAAAGACAACAAACCGATGGAGAAATGGACCAATTTGGACACTTTCTTTGGAGTTTCTCATGGGTATTCAATGCTCGATGGGCAATAGACCAAAGAAAGACCTTCACTCTTTTCTGGGGATAGGGTCCTTCCAAATAAAAGTTATCATAGAAGACTTTAGTTCGGGAGAAGTTTCTCTCAACTTCAACTAGGCTGACTTGGTTGTGAATCGATCGTGGGGTTCCAAGGGCCATACCACTACATCTTCCTCCTCCCCTAAAGCATAAGCCTCTAGGCGTTGAACCATCCTCATCCAACTATCCATCTCTCTGTCAAACAAGCCTCCTCGAAAGCCTAAGTCCCAAACCTTCTGTTCATAAGCAATCTGCTACCAAAGCCTCTTGTTTAAGGGAGATAACAAACAATTCGGGGAAGTCTTCTGCTAAAGATGTGCCCCCATTCCATTTGTCAAGCCAAAACTTTATTCTGTTTCCTTTTCCTACTTTAAAAATCGTCTATTTATGAAAAGTGGAGGAAATCTTGGCAATGTTGAACCAAGGTCTACCTCTCACTCTTCCTTTGGGATCTCTAGGCTACCCGTGAGGATCAACCCAATAAATACTAGCTATAACCTTTATCCACAAAGCTTCATTTTCTTGAGTGAATCACCACAACCACTTCATAAGCAAAGCCATATTTTTCTGACAGAAGGCGGCAAAGCCTAGGCCCCCCAAACTTAAAATCAGAGAAGAAATATCCCATCTAACCAAATTTCTACAAAGGTGATCACCTCCACCCTCCCAGAAGAAATCTCTAACAATTGTCTAAATCTTTAGTAACACTTACTAACAATTGTCTAAATCTGTAGTAACACTTACTGGTGCTTTCAGCAGAGAAAAGTAGAAAATAAAGAGACTATTGAGTACAAATTGCACCAAGATTAACCTTCCACCTTTGGATAACATCAGATTCTTTCATTTAGTTAGTTGGAGTTTTCCCTTCTCCACCAGCGGCCACCAAAATGCTATGGCCCTATGATTTCCACCAAGAGGAAGACCCAAGTAATGAAAAGGAAGAGCTTCTGTTGAGCACCCTATTCGGGCTACCTTAGCTACAAGTTTAGCACTCCCAATGTTCAAACCAATCAAGGAGGTCTTAGCCAAGTTTATACGCAGTCGCGATCCTTGGATGAACACTGAGATGATATCCCACCATCGTTCTAACTTCTAGGTTGCCTTTGTAAGCTGGAGAAAAAAACTGATTGTGTCATCTGCATACTCTAAGTGGGATACAACCACCTTATCTCTACCAACATCAAACCCTCGGATTATTCTTTGGTCGCAACAATAGTTAACTAACCGACTGAAAGAGTCTCCTATTAGAGTGAAAAGGAAAGGGGAGAGGGGGTCTCCTTGACGCAATCCTCTGTGGGCATGAACTTCCCCCTAGGCCTTCCGTTGATAAAAATGGAAAAGTTTGTTGTGGAGAGACAACCTCTCACCCACAAACGCCATCTTTCTCCCAAAGCCCTGATCTCGTCTAAATACTCCCAATCAACCATGTCATAGAATTCTCATAATCAAGCTTGATTAAATATCCTTTTCTATTGGAATAATTCCAATCCCCCACTGTCTCCGCAGCCACTAGCATTGCATCTAAAATCTGTCTTCCTTCTACAAAGGTAACTTGAGCATCAGCAATAATCGAAAGTAGAACTTTCTTTAACCTTTCGGCCAGCACTTTAGCAACAATTTTATACAATGAAGTGACTAAACTGATAGGTTTAAACTCGTTTACTTTGTTGCTTGCACCTTCTTTGGGATCAAGCAAATATATGTTTCATTTGTACGGCAGTTGATCACTCAATTTTGAAAATACTCTTGGAACACCCTTACTAAGTCAGATTTCAGAATGTTCCAAGTGTTTTTATAAAATGATCTCAAAGCTATGAAAGATGGTTCCAAGGGTGGAGATTTTTTTAACCAAATGAATTGGAGCAAAAGTTGGTAGTTAGAGCTTTTGATGTACGTATTCATGGGTGGCATACTTGTAATTGCAGGGGAGCAAGTTTCATGGCCATGTGGAAAAATAGTCATTAGTATTGGTACAAGAGTTGCTCTTTGGGAAGACAATTTGTGGTGGGTCAGTGGGTGTGTGTTTCTCTTGGGATATAGAGGAAGGGTTCATAAACTTTTATACAGAACTCTTGGTAAAGAAAGATGGTGAAAGATTCCTTCCCTCCCCTATCAGTTGGGCCCCATCTCCCTTTTTCTTTTGAGTTAGAGGCCCCTTATTTGAAAGAAGAAACCTGGCACACTATAAAGGAGCTAGGATCCAATAAAGCTCCAAGGCCCGACAAGATTATAGTGGAATTCTACAAAAATAAAATAAAATAAAAAAATCTTGGAACATTCTGATGTAACTAACAATAGCTAACTCTACTACTATCAGTTACATCACGTTCTTAAGAACGACATATTAGGAGTGTTACAAGATTTTATCCAGAACGGTATCATGAATGCAAGTATCAATGAAACATACATTTTCCTCATTCTAGAAAAAGTTGACTCTAGAGAGATGGAGGATTTTAGGCCCATAAGTCTTATTTCATGTATGTACAAAATCATAGCAAGAGTCCTATCCGGCCGATTGAAGAATGTTATTCCAATCCCAGTTTCTGAATTCCAATTGGCTTTCATGGAGTGCTGGCAAATATTACATGCTTCCTTCATTGTAAATGAGCTTATAAAGGAATGGCATTGTCGTAAAAAGAGAAGATGGATTAGAGGATTAAGGTCCCTCGACATGGGGATGATGCTCTATCACCCTTTCTCTTATTGGTGGTTGATGGGTTTAGTAGATTCTTATCCTATGCATCTATGAAGAATTTGACTAAAGGCTTAGAAGGGAGAACCTCTATATAAATCCTTTGCAATTTGTCGATGACACTATTTTATTCTCATCCCATGAGGAGAGTGTTATCTCCAATCTCTTCTACTTTGTTACTTCTCGAGGAAGCATCAGGTTTGAACATTAAACGCCAAAAGTCCGAAAGAAAAAGAAAGAAATGAGCAATCCACCCTACAGGCTAAGGATTGCAATAAGGAACCCATGAGAAAAAATTCAATTAACATTCTAATTGGGAGGAAAAAAAGGTTCTTGATAGAAAGCACATTGTGAAAAGGCCAACCACTAAGCAAAATTCCAAAACTCCCTTTGCGTTACTTTCAAAAAGTATAGGGTTTATTTTATTCATAACTCCTAAAGGCTCCTTAGCACTAGACAAAGCAATCCTTTTTTTTTATAACTAGGAATCGGAGCTTTGCTCCCCTATACCAGGGGCAGCCGACAAAATAATCTTTGTTAACATAAGTAAAAAAGAAATTCAAGTAGGAAAGATAAGACATCCTCCAATTCATACTAGTGAAATCGAAACTTCTTTAGTTAGGTCTGATTAGACAAGTATTGATCAATCACAAAGAAAGATTACACCATGATTATTAAGTGAAGACTGTATAGGAATCCATGAGAAGATAGGAAACAGGAAACTACAAAAAACTTATGTCAGAAAAACTAAAAGAAATAGCATTACACAGAATTTAGAAATAAAAGAAAGAACTTTCATTTATGGTTGAATTTCTAACCCAAATCCACCTAGTAATTTCCAGTGTAGAAGAAAAATAAAATAAAGGAAAGAAAGAAAGAAAGCCAGAGTAGGGAGAAGAGGACTTAGATCTATAAGGGCATGTTTCAAACTTCATGCCTCTCTTTTCAAGCAAACATACACCACAAAATTAAAATCCTACATGATTCACAAGGCATCTAAGAAAAAAACCTGAGGTACCCACGCCCTGAGAACCCTGTCCCACTTGTATGCAGTCCCATCATCATCAGTGAATTCCTCCTCACCCTCTGGAGGTGTAGTAGGTCTGTCATAATCACCTTCCACCGTACCAAAATTCTTACTACCAGAAGGGCTCAACGGTTCAGCTGTTGCTCCTGCTTCTCTAACCTCCTTCTGATATTTCTCAAGCTCATCATCATCATAGTTGTTGTCAGCAGGGACTGAAACACCCAATGAGCACTAAGCAACAATTTGACTGCAATACTTATCAATAACATAAATAATTAATAAGACATTAACGAGACTTCACCTGTAGTTAATGAATTAACTTCTTGCTGAAACGTTTTTGCTGTCAACCCAGGAATAGATGATAATGGCCGCCATTCACTTTGTCCTTCAGACCAGGCTAGTGTACTCTCCAAGAGATACCCATTTAGATAATGCTCTGCCCATGGCGAATAAATAACTAAATAGATGTTTCAATAGCTCTTTATACCAATTGAACATGATACAGCGTGCTATTGTTTACTTGTACAACTGAAAAATTCAAGAAAAAAAGATTGACAGTAAATTTGAGGAACAACCGGCAATTTACAACATAAAACTAAGAGCTTTCACAACACGAAGTACCAAGGTAGATTTCAATTTCAGTAAGTTGCTCATCTGAATAAAAAAACTACAGGTGATGTTTGGAACAATATCAATAAGCCATATGCAAAAATGTTCTTTTCTTACAACTCACCGCGCAATTCAGAGAAGGCATATGGACCTACATGTTGCTGATCTTCACCAAGAATATACCACCCAGCTTCGTTAACCATTTCAGAGTTCCCAACAGAAGTTTTATCCATACCTGCAAAAAGAGGAGCTGAGCACGCAAATCCACTCCGCCGAAGCTAACCTACGAGGCACCAACATTAAGATTTAACTACGTGTGGGAAAAGTTGACACAAACCCAGTTCGAGGAGATTGCGCCGCTCGAAGTTGGACCCTGAAGACGTCGTGATGC